GAATTTTAGCTGTGTATCTTCTCTCTCTTTTACTTCAAGTAACTATAGCCCCAATGATCTTATTGTGGTATTACTCCTCATTTACTGTTTATAAAGAATAGCCCCACTACATGGGAAGGGCAATTAGAAGATACTGTTACAGACCTTTTAGTGCTTAGTCTTTGGAGTGCTTACCATTCATATATAGCTGTCTCATAAAATATACATTTATATAAGAATAATTATGCATAGTAACATGCAGAAGATTTACAGGTAAGTTAAAAACATGCAGGCTCTAGGAGGTGAAAACATGCACATTCATCACTTGAGCTTTGTCATTGACAGGGGGCAGTTGTTTGTAGCCACGCAGGTATTATAATACAGACATGCAGCACTCCCAGCAACGATGTTGTCTATCTATAAAATAGACAGCAATGTGCAGAGACATAAAAGCAAAGATATTCATGGCAGTATTATGAGATGAAGACATAAATCTTACTAAACACAGATTTTGTCTTTTGAATTGTACACTGCAAAAAACACATAGAAGTTTCATGGAATAATTACTCCTAAATTATCTGTTTAGTTGTTCCTGCTGTGCATTCATTTTAAAGCAAGTGTTTTAAATGACACCTTACCTTCCAAGACAGAAACATGGCTTAGCACCAGCTTTCTCCTCTAAGGACCTCTAATGCTTCTGCAGTGGTATTTCTGTTGTGGTTCCTCATATAAAATGTTAGAGGACAGCAGTGGATTACTTTGTTCCTATTTTTTTTTTTTTTAAGAATGGGTTTGATAATTTACTCTAATTTTAGACTTTGCCTATTTTTGTCGAGAATCAGTTGGGCTGGATCAATTGAACCTTGTACCAGCAGCTTCATTCAGCAGGCTTCATGAGGACAAATTCTCTGTTGGTCTTTCATTTTTTCTAAAGAACCTCATGCATTTTACTCATTTAGAAATAAAACGATACACAGGTATGGAGTATTTGTAGCATTTAAAGATGCGCCAGCATTGGTCATTGTTAGAGTGAAAAAAGATCTTACAAATTTCTCCTCCACCGAGTCATTGTGCTCTGTAGTCTCTTCTTATGCAGAAGTTCAATGATTCCTTAAATTTTGACATTGTGACAGAAGGTCATGGCAAAAGCAAATATTTGTCATATAAAAAAATGTCCAAAAACATTTAATCTGCTTTAAAGTGAAACATGCTTTTACTCTTAGTGAAATCAGTCTTTCTGAAGTACAGGTTTCAGCAAACTCATCAGTTTAACTGTGGTGCCCCTCTAGAGCATAAGGCCAAACACCACAGGTCACCAGGTCCCTTTTACACTATTCACTAAGTCAGCAGTAGGCCAGGCGCAGGGCGGCCAGCACAGGGGACGGGGCTGTCGCCAGGGAATTCAGCTTTATGTCCATGAACTGTATGACACGTGGTCAACACCAGTCTCAAAAGCCACTAATGAACTTAATGCATTAAAACCACGCAGAGGTTTCTATTCTTTGTGAGTTTATGCGCTGTCATACTCTTGACCAGGCCCAGGTTTAACCTGAGAGCTCGTTGTCTGTCAGGGCGTGATCCAGTTTTAGCAAGAGAACACACCGCAGAGCACTGCCTGCAGCAGCGGGGAGCTGTCTGGGGGAGCCATGCCCTTCCCTCCTGAGGCTTACAGCTGAGCTGTGCTCCAGGCTGGTGACACACAGAAAATTACAATGTTCTTGCCAAGACGATTCTCACGTAAAATCTGATGGCTCTATGACCAGCCACCTAGCAGCAAGAGACAGCAGCCAGATCTTGAAGGAATTCTCTGCCCTGCACCAACCACTCCAAATCCACTGTGATTCATAGGAAGGTCAAAACCACAATGGACGTTCACAAAGCCCCATGATGCAGCTGTCCACAGGGAAGAAGCCAAGTCCTCCTGACCTGTGCAGGCAAACAGCTGGAGCCGTGCTTGATTGTACTTGCAGTGTCTTACACACTGCTATTTCGAGAGCTTCATTTGCAGCTTTAGCTCTAGGCAGTTCAGATTTTTTTTTTTTTTTTTACTGCTTGTTGTCCCCTTTATGGGGCTTTTAATAAACTTTATAGACAAACATTGCATCATCCCTTGATTGCAAATATGAAATCAGTTTGGTGTGGATGCTCAGCAAAAGTTTTCTGGGCTGCTAATCTGAAAACGTTTAATTTGACTATTATGGTCTTATATGTCTTCCCTTATTAGAGGAACTTTCTGTTCTGACAGAAGCTCAGTAGGACCTAGATGTCTCCTAGTTTGATCCAAATACAGATATTTCTCCTTTTTCCATGTTATACGTCAGCATGTTATCAGGAGTATCACCCGTACATAGGCTAAGTTTTTCTGGGTCCTTGGACAATTCTAAAATGCTAGCTTACATATAATTCTGCTGGACAGTGGGACTTCACAGGTTTCTCTCTTTCTAACTTATTACCAGATGATTTTGAGTTGTATTTTATAGCTTGCCATCTACCTTTTTTCCCTTTTTGTCTGTTTTGTGTTTTCTACATTTTATTTTAACCAATATGGCTTCCCAAACGCTGTAAAGTTTTATATGTTTGAAGAATGATGGCTTTTTTTGGCATTCACTGGGAAATCTTCAAGAAGTTCCTAGATTTTGTTAGAACTGCCATTAACACTAAGCTGGCTAATATTCAGGGATCACATCCTCCAGGCTCAGGGATGATGCATCCCAACAAAAGAGGAAGGCAGGCAAAAATGCCAGGAGGCCCGCATGGATGAACAAGGAACTCCTGGGCAAACTCAAACAAAAAAAGGAAGCTTACAGAGGGTAGAAGCAAGGACAGGTAGCCTGGGGACAATACAGAGACACTGTCCATGAAGCCAGAGATCAGGTTAGGAAAGCTAAAGCCCTAATAGAATTAAATATGGCCAAGGATGCTAAGGGTAACAGGAAGAACTTCTATAGGTATGTCAGATATGTATGTCAGGTCCTCTGATAAAAGGAAGACTAGGGAAAATGTGGGCCCCCTCTGGAAGAAACTGGGAGGCCTGGTGGCCCAGGATATAGAGAAGGCTGAGGTACTTAACGAGTTCTTTACCTC